AAAATCTTCGGCCATTTCGTAGGTTATACCAAGGTTAACAACTGTACCAAGTTTGGAAGAAATTGGTGCAGCGGTTACCAAGATATACACATGTAACCATAAGTGGGCGTGGCTGCGCCCATTTTCCAAAAATTTATAATATTCTTATTTCTCGTCTAAAACTTATTGTAAATATCGATTTTGAGTTTCGTATTTCTGAAAATTACCGTTATATGGGAGGTAGGCGTGGTTATTGTCCGATTTTGCCCATTTTCAATACCATCCGTCCTACGCCAGAAATAAGGGCACGTACGAAGTTTCGTTAAGATATCTCAATTTTTACTCGAGTTATCGTGTCCACAGACGGACAGACAGTCACTGCTTAATCGATTTCTTTTTTCATTCTGATCATTCATGTATACATTTGTCTATATCTATCTCGATTCGTTTTGCCTGTTACAAACAACAAAGTTATAATACCCTTGTGCGCAAGTGCGCTCGGGTGTAAAAAATGTGCACACTCGCAGACCGACGATTTACCAATCCTCAACAAAAAAAATTCTTTAACGCCAGCAAAAAAAACCTAATCACGGGAAGTAGAAAAACAAATAAATGTCTTCGGTGCACTTAAAATTATAGCAGTTATAAGCCATTTTCGTGTTAACTGCGCCTCGCCCTCCCTATCCCTGGCTTTCCTTTAAAGATGTCATAATAAATGAAAGCCCTGCAAATTCCAACAACAAACTAACCAATGGTTTCGGCCATAATTAAAATAAATTTAGAACTCCATTTTGAATTCAACGTTTATTCACAAAAATTTCTTACTCCTGACTATTCTATAGGTTAATATAATTTCGATTATAGGTAAACGGAATATGTTAAGCAAGTGAGAGAAAGAGAAAAGAATATTTATATATATGTGTATATAGGGGCGGACCCAGCAGCAATTCTTGGGGGGGGGGGGGAAATTTTTTCAACATATATCGTGTATATAAATCTAAAAATCACTGCAATTTGAAATTTTTAGAGTTTTGATAGTTTTTAGTTTCTTGAAATTTCCCCTTTTTAATAACTTGAGTGAATTCCAAAATTTTCTAAACTTTCAAAACTTTGAGAATTTGAGAAATTTTAATAAATCCCAATAATTCAATATAATGATGAATACTAGATTTCTAGAAATTTTTTATTTTTCAAAAATTTTGAGAATTGTAGGAATTCTAACAAATTTTGTCTAAGTAAAAGTGTTGAATATTCAAAATTGATCAAACGAAATTAAAAGTTTTCGAATGTTGAAAACATTTTCATATTTGGTAGCTTTTGACAATTTAAAAGATTTTCGTTATTCTTGAAGATTCAAAAAATTTTTGGACGTTTCAAAAAATTTAAAATTCTTTGCCTTTTTTATAGCAATACAAAATTTTTAAAAGTTCAGAAAAGTGGAACAATTTTGGAATTTTTCAAAAATGTTAATATCTTTTACAATTCTAAGAATTTTCTTTTTTTACACACAAGTACCATGAACATAAGAATTTTTCGACAATTTGTGATGTTTCACATTTTTACATTTATGATGGATTTTAGGATAAATAAAATTCTCAAAATTTTTGGAAAATATAAAAATTTCTAAAATCTCAATAATTTTGTACATTTCAAAATATTCTCATTTTACCAAAATTACTAGAATCTCCCGGATTTCGATAGTTTTTGAAATTTTGGAAATTATCCTAAAAATAAGAAATCTCAAGAAATTTAATATTATAAAATTCAAAATTTTGGAATTTTCGTTGTTTTCTGAACCTGTGAAAATATTCAAAATTGCTGCGACTTTGAAATGTGTCAAATAATAAAAATTCGAAAATATAACAAAAAAGTAAAAATTGAACATTAAGTACATAATTTCAAAATTTTGAAAATTCAGGGAATTCGAAAAACTGATAGGTTTACTTAATTAGCATAATACTTCGAGCTTAGCACACAGCTAAAATTTCAAACTCAAGTGAAATTTTACACACTTTTTCCATGAATTAAAATTTTCAAAAGCATCCATTCATTTTGTTTGTTCCCCAAGCTTCTCGAAATCACTTCGAGTTACATATACGCGCTCCGCAAGCAAGTTTTCGAGTTTCTTTGATATACGCTCACAGTTTGAACTTTGCCCGAGTTTTTCTACAAGGGACAAGCCTATTATATATTCTTGTAATGATATTTCACGATATTCAGTTGAATATTAAGAAAATACATGTTACACAGTCGTGGGGGGGAAGGGGGTAGGGGAAATTTCCCCTACCTGGGTCCGCCACTGGTGTATATGTATCTTGGGAGTACCTATGCAAATCTTTATGTAAGTATGTACAAGCACATACCGAAAAGAACAAGACTATTATTCGATTACTCTTAATTTTTTCGCGCTCAATTTTCTCTAACCTTCTAATCAAGGCTTAAGAAAAGTATGCAATAATATGCGGATGAATATTTATGTACGTACATATGTATATACACCCTTTTTGTAATTCATTAGGTGGCCATTGCAAAAAAAAAACTTAGGTACATATGTATGTAATAATATGCATATATTTACGTTTATTCTTTGTAGTTTTTCTTTTATATATATGTAATTACACGTACGTAGAAATGTATACATAATTTTTATATTACATTGAACTGCTTTTTTTTTTTAGTAAATATATATGTATAAAAATTTTTAGTACTCACATTCTATAGTGGCGGAGTGAAGCGCTTCCCTCGTTGCTGTGACGTCGATTCTGCTATGTATTAATTA